TAGCTCCAGAGATTTGTGCAAACAATACAAATGAGGCTGTCACAAAACAGGAGAACAGATCGGGATATCTCTAACTTTTACAGAAAGAATTGAACCCAACAGAGAACACATGTTCTTCTCAACTCCTGTAGAGCATTTGGAAACATTGAGGATGTGCTGGATGAGCCAAGAAACCTTGACACCTTTCATAAATCACATTCTATCCCCAGGTTGCAATACAATTAATTAGAAACAGTAAGAAGACAACATTAAAAATGCATTTTGGAAACAAAATTAATTTCCACAATGGGAATTATTAAGTGTTTGGATCTCAATAGTAATAAGGTATTCATATAAAAATTATAGAATTCAACAAAATTAGGGTTTAGAGGGAAATCTATACTGTCAAATGAATTTGTAATAAACAGGATAAAAGGGGGAAAAAGAGAAAGGCAACTTGGGTTAAAGAAAAATAAAAACTAAAATGAAAAACTTTTTGGAAACAGACTACAGAAGTTCCATGATTTATAATGATTTGACCTAATGATTTTTTTTGACCTCATGATAGTGTGAGAGCAATATGCATTCAGTAGAAACTGTACTTCAGATTTCGAATTCTGATCTTATCCTGGGCTAGTGAAATGCAGTATTGTCTTGGGGTGCTGGACCACAGCTCCCAGTCAGCCACAAGATCACAAAGGGCAACAGCCAATAACTGACAATCATTCTGTACTCATACAACCCACAGCATGTCTGGCTGCAAGGCTTGGCCATGACCATTTTCGGCATCCTGGTGAGTGTCGCTTGCCCCTGGCATGGCTTGCTGCCAGACTTCGCTGCAGCTGCTGTGGGCACCACGGTGGATGAGACTGGCTCTGCTTGGGCTGGCTGTGGGTCCTAGTTGCAATGCTGGTAGGTGGGTCTAATCCTCTGGAGTGGGAGTTGGGGGAGGTGCTGGTCTGGGTGAGGCCAAAAATTGGGTATAGAGAGGTGGGAACCCCTCTGGGGCAGCATCAGTCCCAGGTGAGCCCACCTGCTGGGTTTGGCATGATGGGAGCTGCTTTGAGGAGGCACCAGCTGGGACAGGTCTGCAGGGGAATGCTGGGATAGGGGAAATGAGGTTAACAAGGTAGATGGTGCATGTCAGATATGGCACCCATTTGTGTGCTGTGCCAGCTAGGTAGAGGGAGAATTTAAAAAGTGGCACCTTCAACAGTTTCTGCCCTCAGATAGTGTCCCAACAGATTCCTGCCCCTTTGGCACTCCAAGTAAAATTAGTCATTGAATCTCCTTCATATATGACCTAGGCAATTTTCATATTGCTGCCTCTGTGCTCTGACTCGGTGTGAGTGAATCTGTGTGTTAGTTCTTTAGAAATCTCAGTTTCCTACAGCCTTCCAGCTCTCCTGGATATAAGCCCCACTTGTTCTCAAAGCTGTATGACCCAGGACCTTGTCTTCCTGGTGCAGGTCCTCTAACAAGAAGCCTGAGGTCTGAGACTCTTTCATTATCTGTCAGTCCCCCAGGAGTTGTGACAGTTGAGGGGTGGAGGAGGTCAAGTTGCTACCTTCTGGCTTGGATGGCCTGCAGGGAGACTGAGGAGAGGTCTGTCACACAGACCGCCAGCTCACATTGTTAAGTCCAACAAAAAACTGGACCGTGATGCAAGCCAATCACCTCTAGAATAAAGCCTCCTCATTGATTGTCTTCCCTTTTGTACTCCTCACATATTTTAAGGCACAGGTTGGAGACCACAATGTTTTTAGCATAAACCGGGCCTAAGTGGGATGACTTCGGAAGCAGACAGGCCATCCTTGCTTTATGCATCCTTCCTATAGCTGCATCGCCTTTGGGGTAATAATTGATAAGCCGTCCTGTTCTGTTGGGTGACAGGTAGGACAAGAGCCAGGAAAGGGTGGGCCTTTGTCATCCTCAGCGTCTTCCCACCCAGCTGCAGGGTCTGTGGTGATGCTGAAAGGAGACCACCTGTGCTAGTCACTGAGGGAGGAAGAGGTGCCAGCTATGGGGACCGAGGTTCAGGGGTGGTGCCAGCTGCTGACCACTTGTCTCTCCCCATGGCTTCCATCAACTGCAGTGCCAAGGCTTTGTCTCCTGTTTACACCTCATTCCAGGCATGTTCCACCTCAGATGGTATTTTGCCTTCTTTCCTTCTTCTTTAAGTTTCCCTTTCTTCATTCCTAAGAGCTCCACATTGATTTTTCCATGCTAGATGCTTTCACACACCACATCTTTTTTATTTCTCAAGAATAAGTCTCATAGGAACACAGACTTGAGATGCCACAAGTTGAAATGTTATGCCATGGGTGACTTTCCTGGGTTGGGGGTTAAGTTTGCTCCCTTTCCAACTGTGAGGAGGGAGGGTACATCAAGGTGAGGACTTAGCACGTAAGCTCTTCTCCAGAACAGGAGGCAAAGAGTGGGTCCCCATCTTCATCATCCTCCCGGACAAGCATGAAGAGGAGACGGGCATCAGTGAGCATGGGAGATTCTTAGGCATGCTGCTGTTCTCCTGATGTCCATCCCAGACAGAACGAGGAACCAGAACCATACCCTGTCTACACTGAGGCTGGAGTGGCAACTACCACCAGATGGCACAACGGGTAGGCCCCCCTGCATTGGCTCGGTCAGCAGGACTCCAGGACTTCTGGCCTTCGGGCTATTCAGGCTCACATGGATGTTCCCTTAGCCTCATCAGAAACTGACCTACCTCTCTTCATAACTGCATTATTTTGAGTTTTATTATTTTATCCCTGTTTTTGAGATAAGAAAGATAAGGCTTGGAGGATTTCAGACACTAGGCCCTTCATTCACCATCCGTTGGCTCTTGTGTTATTTATTTGTATTTTATTCTAGTTATTAATAGTAATGCTTTGAAAATAGCTAACTTTTTTTTGATAGTTTCACTTTTTATTACCACATTCTGTTAGAAGTTCAAAGAATTTTAGAGCTATATTGCTGTCTGCTCGAAACAGCTGCAAGGTTTGGAGATTTTTACTGGACGATAAAATTTTCTTCTTTACATTTAATACTATCTCTTTCCTTGTGCCTGAAGATGCCCTATATAAAATAGTTAACTTTTAAAAATTTTCAGAAGTTTTTTAGTAGCTCATGAAATAGCCTTTATATTTTCCCTCAAGAGCTTGCCAAATTTTACAAAACCATGTTAGGAATCATTAAATATATATAAGTACAGCCAAGCACTCATGCACACACAGATGCTCGAACATGGTGAGCCACCATTTCATTTATACAATCTCTTCCAGCTAGTGCTTGCTTGACTTGGGGCCATTATTTTATGGGCCCGTTACAGTAGTTATGTTAATTGGCAGAGTCTAGGATATGGTAAATCCTGATATATATTGATTTTCCTCTTCAAAAATTTTTAACTTTTTCTGGGTGAATTTTTAAACAGTTTGATCAAATTCCTTCCAAAAAAGATCATTACAGTTGCCCTAAAGTGGCATTAAGCCATTGAATTTTTTTGTCAAATGAGAGGGCAGCTGAGGTGGCTTAGATGAGGACATCACTGTAGGGGAGGATGTCAAGGACCAGGGAGTCTGGATTGTGGCAGTGGTCATTTGTGTGACCCAGAATGGAAGGATCCAGAGAGGAAGAAGGTCCTGCAAGAATGTCAAAGTCTCTTGTGAATGAGGGGCATTCCTGTTACCTTCTGCTATCAAACCACCCCAGACTGAATGACAACAAATGAACTATTTTGTTATGCTCACAGTTTCTGTGACCAGAAATCAGAGAGCGCTGTGTGGGGAGGGCCTGTCTCTGCTCCATGGATCAACACCGGGCATTAACAACTGAGTCAAAAGTGATTCAAAAACTCAGACTGTGTATGTACAAATTTTTAGAAGTATTTTAACCAATTTATTTTGTTTTGTTTTCTTTTATATGCACAAAGGATTGAAATATACTAAAACTTATTCTCTAATAGGTCTAAAATAGATCTTTCAATATGTGTAACAAAAATAAAGCATTGTCTTAGCAATTACTATTGCTTTTTTTAAATTGTTTAAAATAACAGAATATCTTAAATAAATGATATTTGGAATTGATGAAATCTAGTGTATTCCCAACATCATACTAGGTTTTACTTGATTCACATCCTTCATGAAACTTGGTATTGTCACATCTTTATATATTTTCCTATTAGTTTCTTATTTATTTATTTATTTTTCTTTCTTCCTTTTTTTTTTAACATTTTTTTATTAAGTTGTAGTCATTTTACAATGTTGTGTCAAATTCCAGTGTAGAGCACAATTTTTCAGTTATATATGAACATACATATATTCACTGTCACATTTTTTTTTGCTGTGAGCTACCACAAGACCTTGTAGATATTTCCCTGTACTGTACAGTATAATCTTGTTTATCTATTCTGCATATGCCTCTCAGTGTCTACAAATTTTGAAACCTCAGTCTGTCCCTTCCCACCCACCGCCCTACTAGTTTAGTATCTTTTTAATTGAAGTATATTGATTTACAATATTGTTAGTTTCAGGTATACATCAAAGTGATTCAGTTATATTTTTTTCAGATTTTGTTCCATTACAGGTTATATAAGGTATTGAATATAATTTGGGTTACTATAAATAATTAAAAAACCCAACCCTTGTCCCCCCAAAAACATTGTTCTGATTATTTTTCTAGTGAAGTGTTGACTAGAGCTGTGTTGGAGGCATTCTTGATTTTAAAGAGAATGCTTCTAACACATCACCATTAAGAATGGTATTTATTGAAACCTTTTGGTTGAAATCCTTTATCAGATAAGGGCACATCACTTCTATTCCTGGTGTGCTAGAAATCAAGAATGAGTGTTGAATTTTATCTAATTTTTTCCTGTATATTTGGTGAGAAATATATATTTCTCTATAGTAATCTGTTAGTATGGTTAATTAAATTAATGCATCTGAAACCAATATTGACATATTATAACCAGACCCACATTGGTCTTCATGATAATTTTTAAAAGTACTACTGAATTTGTTTGGTATTAGTTTAGGTTTTTTTTTTTGTTTGTTTGTTTTGCCTATGATCATGAGAGGAACTGGCCTGTAATTTTCTATTTTTGTGCTGTTCTTATCTGAATTTGATACTAGGTAATACTAGCCTCATAAAATGTACCTGGAAGTGTTTTATGTTCTCTTTGGAAAGACTTTGAACATGATCACAATAATCTGCTTCTTGAATATTTGGTATGCTATCTCCTATACCTGGTGTTTTCTTTGAAGGAAGTCTTTAAACTACTGGTACAATTTATTTATATTTACTAAATACAATGGACTGAATTATGCCCCTCTCCCCGAATTCATATATTGAGCCCTTATCCTTAATGTGACTGCATTTGGATGTGGGGCCTTCAGGAGGTGATTATGGTTAAATAAGGTCATAGGGTTGGGCCCTAATCCTATAGGTTTGGTGCCCTCATCAGAAGAGGAAGAGTCGCCATAGCTGTCTGTCCACACGGTCACAGTGGAAAGGCAGCTGGGGACACAGAGGGAAGGCGGCCATCTGCAATCCAGGAAGAGAGGCCTCATCAGAAACCAACCCTGCTGACGCCCTGACCTTAGACTTCTAGCCTCCAGAACTGTGGGGAAAATGAATTCTGCTGTTTAATTCCCCTAGTCCTGTGATAGTTTGTTGTGGCAGCCCGAGCAGACTAACACACTGGATTTTTAGTGCTTCTATTTCTTTTATCAGTCATTTCAAGTATTACGTTTTTCTTGGAATATGAACATCTATTCATGTATATTGGCATAAAGTTTGCAGAATACGTTCGATTTTTATGGTTCTGCTGTCCTTAGTTATACCTTCTTTATAATTCCTACTATAACTTAATTGTATCTTTTCTTATTCCATGCATTCACAACAGGGAGGATATTGTCCCAAGGGGGTGAAAATTTGTCTTACTCTTTTGAGTATGAGGCACAGCACACAAAGTGATAAACAGTAGATCTGTGGTACTAAACTTCATGAGAGAGCACGGCTGTCAGAAAAAAAATGTTTTAAAAAGCTCCTGGGACGTTCATTTAAAAAAGACGTTGGGAAACTCTGTCTTGTTTTTGATCAATTCCATCAGTGTAGTATCTATATTTGTAAACTTTTCAAATAATTGGTTTTGTTATTACTCCCTGTTGAATTTTGGTTTTCTATTTAATTTACTTGTCCTTTCTTCCACATCTTCTCTCTTTCATTTTCTTTGAGTATTTTACAATTCTTTTTCTAATATGTTTAGTTGGATTATGAGCTCATTAATTTTCACCTTTTTTTCTGTAATATGAAACTTTTGAGCCTCAAATATCGTAAGTTTTTCTTTCACTGTATCTCGTGTTTCCATAGGTAACAATTAGTATCATCTGATAATATTTTAATTTTAGTTTTGATTTATCCTTTGATCCATAATTATATGTCTGATTTTACATTTTCAATTGTATGCATTTTTTCAAAATTTCTTTTTGTCATTGATTTCCAAACAAATTGTATTGTGATCAGCGAACATGGTCTTTTACTTTTATTTCTTTTACTTTTATGGGGACTTATTTTGATACATGACTGAGTGGAAGATTCTTTCCAGTCCCATTATACCAAGTTTATTGTATTATTCAAATCTTCTACAGTTTAAGTAATATATTGCCTTGACTGATAATTGTTCAAATTTTCTCAGGATAACAGTGGATTTGGCATATTCTCCTTATCAGATATAATTTTCCTTTTGTTAGGTGCATTCCAGTTTAACAATTTTGTAGCTTTCTTAAACATGAAACTTTATCATTAGGAACTTGCCCTCTTTAGCCCTAATGCTATTTTTGTCATTGTTGTTGAAGACTCTATAGCCTTTTGGTTTTCCCAGCATCTCTGGCATATCACTATCCATTCTTTTACAGTCCACTCTTTATTGTTCTTATGTATTAGATATGTTTCCTTTTAAAAGTATACACCTAGAATTATAAACAATCTGGTAACTCTGTCTTTAACTGGTAGGTCAAGTCCATTTACATAGTGGGCGCCTTGAAAATGTACCACTCAGGTTTCTGACAGTAGGGAGTATAACTGAAGAGGAGGGTGCTCTGGGTCCACCATCCACGACCACAATCCACCCCCTCATTCAAACAGAGGCAAGTACCTGCTGCCAGCCAAGAGCTGAGCTCAGCAAGGATACTGATGCCAGCCCGTGTGTAGGAGAGCTCAGTCTCCTTTGATGGATCCAGGTCTCCCCAGCTTCAAGGCTGAAACTCATTTGGGACTGTTCTACCCTCTGAGACTCTTCCTAACCAACCTACTTCATACTCTCCATCCTTTTCAAGAGAAAAACTCTCCAAATTGGTGATTGTCCCTGTGATTTTCAATATACAGTTATTCTCAATAGTCAGTGGGTTTTTCAGCAACAAGGTTGTGATGATGTTAAACTTAGGTTCCATACATCTAAAAATATGTTTTTTTGCTCACTCTTGAATAACAGTTCAGTTAGACACAGAATTTTAAGTGAACAGATTATTCTCAAGGTTGCCCTAGATACTGAATAATTTCACAAAAGCTGTGTAAATGCTCACATTAGGGAATTAATGGCTCATGTCCATATTCATCAATGGATCTTGAATTTTGTCAAATGCTTTTTCTGCACCTATTGAGATGAACATACGATTTTTTTCTTTCAATCTATTAATGTGAGGTATCACATTTATTGTTTTGTGTATATCAAACTATCCTCGCATTTCAGAGAATCCCACTTGATCATGGTGCATGATCCTTTTAATGGTGCTGCTAAACTTGGTTCACTAGTATTTTGGGGGGAAATTTTCCATTATATTCACCAGGGATATTGGTCTGTAGTTTTCTTTTCTTGTAATGCCCTTTTCTGGCTTTGGATTCAGGATAGTGATGGCCTTGTAAATGACTTTGGGAGTGTTCCCTCCTCTTCATTTCTTTGGAAGAGTTTGAGAAACTTCTTATGTTTTCACAATGCTAATTATTATTCATTTATTTCTGCTTGAAGAAATTCCTGCAGCATTTCTTGTACAGCAAGTCTTCTGGTAATGAACTCTTTCAGCTTTATTTGTTTTTGTATGTTTTCAATGTCTCCTTCATTTCTGAAGAACAGGTTTGCTGGGTACCATATTTTTGTTTGAAATGTTTTTTTCTTCTATATTTGAATATATTCTCTTTCTCTCCTGGACTGCAAAGTTTCTACTGAGAAATCCATCTTAAGTTTCATGGTGCTGACTTACATGTGATGACTCATTATTCTCTTGTTGCTTTCAAACTTACCTATGTCTTTGACCATAGACAATTTACTTGGGATGCAATTTGCTGTAGCCATTGGAGGTTCAACCTATTTGGGATCCTTTGAGACTCATAAATCTGGATGTCCATCTCTCCATGTTTTGTTAAGTTTTCAACCCTTTTGTTTAAAATATACTTTCTGTCTCTTTCTCTCTTCTCCTGTGGGGCCCCTGTAATTCATTATTATTTCTATTGATAATGTTTCAAAGTGTTTCTTCACTCTTTTAAATGTTTTTCTTTTCACTTCTATGACAGGATAATTTCAAATGACTATCTTTTAGTTCTCTGATTCTTTCTTCTGCTTGCTTGAGTTTGTTGCGAAGATCTCTATTGTATTCTTCAGTACAGTCATTGTAATCTTCAGCTCAAGTTTCTATTTATTTTGATGGTTTCTATTTCTTTGGTGAACTTCTCATTTTGTTCATACATTTTTACCCCGAATTTCATATAGTTGTTTGTCTTTGTGTTCTTGTTTTCAATAAATTATTTTAAGAGGATTATTTTGAATTCTTTGTAAGACAGTTCATAGATGTCTATTCCTCTAGACTACTACAGATTTATTTATTTATTTTCATCATTTCATTTTACTTGATTCTTCATGGTCCCTGATTTGTTGCATTGGTATGTGCACATCTGAGTAAGCAGTCTCTTCTTCCCTTCGTGGACTTTGTGGTCCAGGGTGTTGCTTCATCTTTATACCTGTTCTGTGATTTTCACAGTGTATTCTTGTCTATTGATAGTCCTTTAGCATGTAAGTGTGTAAGGAAAATTTTACATCTTCTAAGGCTTCTGCAGGAGGGATCTAAAAAATTAGGAGGTCCATCTCTGTCAATGGAGGAGCTGACTTGAAAGCTTGGAAAATAGGGCATCAGGAATTTCCTTTATATGAGGAGAAATGTTAAGGTAAAAGAAGGGAACTAACAACTCTGAAGGAGGTAGTAGGCATCAGGACCTTTTTTGATGATGTTTTGGAGATTACATGAGTGGTGGCCTTGGATGTTAACCTACATGTGGTCAGCAGTTTACATAGAATTCTCACATGTGCCAACTACACGTCTTGATATCCAGAGCTGAAAGGCCCAGTCATGATTTTTTTTTTCTGACACCCTTGTCCTCACCACATATTTCTTGATGTCTCTGAGCTCATCATCCTCTCCTCTCCAGGTGCAGGGAGGGAAGACATTAACAAAGGGGCCCCTGAGTCTTTACCAGAAACGTTGCCCGGTGCTGAGCATGTTGCAGCAGTTAACTATCACCCTCAAGGCAACCTGTAGAGGAGATACCATTGTCCACATCTTTTCAATGAGGAAATTGAAGCACTAGGAGATTAAGTAAATTGTCGAAGAGATTAAGTAACAGCAAGTGAGTAATGGACACCAGATTGTATTCAAACATCAAAGATATTTGGGGCTTTTTTGAAAGAGCATATTTTGGGTAAAACCCCAAGCATCCCATCCCTTGGTGACAGATAAGGACCTGTCTGTGGGGAAACGTACTCATCACGCCTACACCCACAGGACACCGGGGTGCTTTGTCCTGGAAGGAGCAGTATAGTTGCTTCTCATACCATAGAGCAATGCTCATTACGTAACAAACTCTCTTGCTGATCAGCAGCAAATTCCAACTCCTTTTGACTATAAACCAAGACACAATATATATGCCCAAACCAGTACAAAAGGGGCTTGTAACGATTTTGTATTTTTGGTGTTTTGGGTGTTGGGCTATGGGGGTGGGAGGGACAAAGTAGCTCTGCAGGGCTCCAGGGCAGGGGGAGAGATCAGTGGCGGCAACCTGGAGGGTGGCTGAGAGCAAATGGGTGGAAAGCATTGAGAACGCGAGCACCAGCTGTTGAGGGGGAAGCTCTCCTGGTTGGGTGGAAGGCAGGTGTTTTGGCCGCAGAGCATTTGCTTGCACTGGCGCTCCATTAAGGCACAATTGATGCACCTCCCCTGTATGAAGAGGAGAGAGAGAGGGTCACTGAGAAGCCACTGGAATTGGGAGTCAAAGGCTGTGGTTTCCTTGGCTCAGGGGATGAGGCTGAGTACCTGCCAGTCTCCACAAGGTGGGCTTTTTTTGATGCCCTTCCTTCCCCTGGATGCTGGTCTCAAGCCTATGCTCTTATTTCTAGACTCTGTTCAGGGATTGGACATCTGCCCTCCCTTCCCTTAGGGAGCCCCACTGTTTTGACTCTGACTCTCGCTGCTCTGATGTTGAACTTGTCTGTTACCTGCTAGACTGGGAGCCTGGGGAGCAAGGACAAGGCCTGACCCCCACTTTAACACCAGCACCAAGGCTCTCTTGGTGAGTGTGTGCTGAAGGGATGAGCCTTACCACAACCTTCAGGCTCGGTTCAGGGCCTGCAGGGCAAGGGCAGATGGGGGCACCCTCAGGTGGGTGATGGACTGTGAAGTCAGCAGCACACGCTGGTTCCCTGTTTGAGACGGCATAATCTGTTTGCAGCACCAACTATCCCTGGCTTTGATGTCATGTTCCCCTTGTCCCCAGATGAGAGTCCTGGATGTGACAGAGCCCAGGTACACTGACAAGCTGACAGCGTCTCTGGGCTGCTTAGGACACAGGCAGTCAGATAAAAATCTTTCCTGGAGCAACTAGCTTCTATTTCTAAGTTTTTAAATAAGCTATTTTCTCTCTTTGGCATGTCCTTCTTTGTCTTGTTTGCCTAGTGGCCTGCTACTCACCTTTTAAGACTCACCCTAAGTCCTCCTGTCTCTATGAATCCCCTTAACTTCATTTCCAACAAAAATGACTATGCCTACTCAGTCTTTCTTATGAACCTGGCAATCATGTTTCTTTTTGAGTAAGAAGCCTGATCTCTGAGACTTTATCATTACTTGTCTGTCTCTGGGGAGTTGTGGCAACTTGGTGGGGGGTGGCTAAGATTAGGCTCCTGACTTCCGGCCTGGATGCCCTGTGATGGAAGGCCTGCCACTGACCACTGGGTCACGTGGTCCAGTCCAACAAAAGACTGGACTGCAATGCAAACCAGTGTCCTCCAGAATACAGCCTCCTCATTAACTGCCTTCTCTTGTGCTCCTTGTTTTAAGGCAAAGATTAGAGACCATGAAGTCTTTAGCACAAAGTTAGCCCAGGTAAGAAACCTCTCAAAATATATCCAGAAAGCTGAGGCCCAGCTGCCCAACTTTACCTTATATGCATCCTCCCTATAACTGCATCACCTTCAGGGTAATAATCAATAAGTAACCTTGTTCTGGTATGAGTGGGAGGTTCAACAGGAGCCAGGAAGGGGTGGTCCCTTGTCCTCCTCAACTTCTTCCTGCCCATCTATAGGATCTGTGATGAAGCCAAGAGGGTCCCCTGTGCTAGCCTTTGTGTGAGGACGACGTGACAGCTCTGGGACCCAAGAGTCCTGGGGTTGTGCCAATTGCTAACCATTCACCTTTCCCCATGTCTTCTCCCAAGCCTGACGTGGGCTCTGTCTCCTGGTTACCACCACTTTCCAGGCATGGTCCAACTCAGATCATATTTTGTCTCATTTCCTTCTCTCTCTTCATTCTCAAGAGCTTCGTATTCATTTTTCCATGCTAGGTGCTTTCACACACAACATCTTTTATGTCTCAAGGGAAAGCCCTATAGGAACACAGGCTGCTCCCTTTCCAACTGTGAGAAAGGAGGGTGTGTCAAGGTGGGGACCCAGCAGGTACACTCTTCTCCAGAACAGGAAGCAAAGAATGGGTCCCCGTCTCCGTTATCTTCCCAGGCAAGCACTAAGAGAGGACAGGCATCAGTGAACATGGGAGATTCTCAGACATGCTGTTGTTCTCCTGATGTTCATCCCAGACAGAACAGGGACAGAAGCGTCCCCGTCTATACTGATGCTCGAGTGGCAACCACCACCAGATGGGATAATCGGCAGGCAGCCTTGGACTGGATCTGTCAGTGGGACTCCACACCTTTGGCCTTTGGGCTCACAATGGTATGCCCTTAGCCTCACCAAACTGAAATGGGCATTCTTCATAACTGCATTGTTTGATCCAAATCTTTGAGATAAGAAAGGCAAGGCTTGCAGAAACTAGGCCAAGTTCACAGACTTGGTAACAGGTTGAAGCAAGTTCTTTCCTATGATCACTCCTGAAAACGCCAAGGCAAACTTCCACATCCCTGACAGTGGCCCCCAAAGCAGATTTATATTGACAGATCCAAAATGTCAGAGAAATGATTACGGTATCTGCACAGAAGCACATGTGACTGGAAGGGCTCATCCATCCATTCGTCATCAGTGGGCTCTGTATGTGTGGATCCACATGCAGGGAAACTCCTGACATTGGTGTTCCTGCAACACTGTGACCTACAGGGCTGCTGTGTATCTATCCCCCACACCCCATGTGTGACACTGGGTATCGTGTGAACATCGTGACCATTGGATTGATGAAGATAGTATTTGATTTCCAGCTTTTCCAACTGCCAAGCCCAGCTGCCCCAGGACTTTCGTTCAGTTGCTCCACAGAGAAGGGATGTTTCTTGACACGACTGGCACATGGCTGATTGAATCTTAACTTCCAGTGCTTTGGAGCTTGGGCTCCAATTCTGAATTTCCTGCTTACTACATAGGGATGTGTGTGCGTGTGCCTGTGCCTGTGCCTGTGTCTGTGTGTGTGCGTGTGCGTGTGCCTGCATGTGTGTGAGGAGTGGGGGTGCAGGGGTCATCAAGCCTGCTTCCATCACTACCCCAAAGTCATGATCTGAGACTTTCCTGAAGCACAGCTGTCAACTTAGGACTTCCTGGAGGGCTGAAGCCCTATCCCAGCTTTTATCACATACCCCTCTGTGGACGAGGTCAAAGGACAGGGACTCAGGACCTCCTTGGCCATGAGCACATCATACGGCCTGTCTGCAGCTCTAATCGTTACCCAGGACAACTGTTTCCAGCAAATACATATGAGCTCAAATTGAAACAGTCTGCAAACAACAGTGTGAATATAGCAATTAACATTCACAATGGTTTGCATGAAGAAGGAAGTACTTTCCAGATGTTTCTCTATCACCCTGACAGCAGGATATAGGAGACGTAGACTGCACTAGGAAGTGAGCCTCCCATGGAGTCATTCACAGCCCCGCTAACCCCCCCAGCCCTATCATGGGATGTCAGAGCCTCAATTTCTTCAGCTTCAAAATGCAGAGCAGTGACACCTGGTAGGACGGAGAGGCAGCCAAGCTCGTGGGGAGGAGCTGGGTGCCTGGCTTTGGTACTGATCTTCCTGCTTCATGGCTGTGCAACTGGGCAGGTGACTCCACTGAGTAGGGGTCAGCTTCCTCCGCCATTCAGTTGTTGGAAGGATGAAAAGCATGAGCTTGTGTAAAGTACTCAGTGTCTGGCCGTCCCTGCTCCATATAAATGACCGCTGTTATTGTGACAATGAAATGAGATTCGTAGGTAAAGGGCCTTGTGTGGTGGCGACATCACCCAGGCTGTACTCTCTGGGGACAGCTGTATCACTGTCAGCATCACATTCAGTGAGCCAGGGGAAGGTTTCACAATGTTATGTGACTTTCCTGACGGATCTAGGAGAATTGATTTTCATGAAGTGAATGGACTGCCCTGGGAAAGGCAGTGAAGAAGGAGAATCAGACCTTGGATGGGAGTCAGGGTTTGGCTCAAGACTGAGAAACTAGACTGTCTTGTTGCATCATTTCATATATGTGTGCAGCAAGATGGTCGGGAAGGGACCATTATTAGAAAGATTCCTCTGTGGAATAAAAGGCGGTGGGGCAGAAAGACAGGGTCACTTCACAGAAGGTTACAGTAAACAAGACTGACTGCCATAGTACCCGGAAGGTCATGAGGACACTCCTGGGTAATGTGTCCCCAGGCAGCCTGGCAGTTTGAGTTCTCAGTCCCAGCCTTACTTGCATGGAAGCAGCATTCTCCACCTGATTCTCCTGGAGCCTCTCCCCAGAACCACACTCTGCACACTCAGGGCTGGGGTGACTCTGGTTCACAGAGACGCAGGTCCCAGCTGACATTCCATCTCTTAGTCTGTGACTCACTCTAAGGCCTGGGACCAGTGCACTGAAAGCTTCATGAGAAGGAGCCAGGACTCCTGCACCTGCTGGAATAAGGGGTACCCGTGGAAATCCTACAACACTCGGGTCTCCAGGGCGATGGGTGGCAGGGATGAAGTCGGGGGGATGGGGCAGAGGATTTGGGGGCACATCCACAAGGCACAGTTATGGGCTCCCAGCCCCTCTCAGGAGGAGCAGGTTGATTTCAGGCAGCTCTGGCTGCTGCCACTTACTCTCCCAGTGGCCTTGGCAACTTCCCTGACCTCTCAGGCCTCAGTTTTGCCTGAATTCAGCAAGCACACAGGTCACTGTGAACTCACACTGCTGGGGAGACTGGAGAGCTGGCATTCAAGGGCCCAGCAGAGCCCTGGGCAGCTGTAAGGGCCCCTAACCCATCACTCTGCCACCCCCACAACCTGAGCTTCCAAGAGTGGCCCTCGGAATGTGCCTGTTTCGGAGAGGGGCTCAGCAACCCTGCCCTCACCTTGCTGGGCAGGTGGCCATTTCTGGAATCCTCCCCTTGTCCACCTAGGGTCTCCTGCCTCCCTCTGCTTCAACCCTCTGTCTGGCTCTGTCCCTCCTGCTCCTGAGTGGGTATCTCTGGCTGGGCATCTCCACCCAGGGCATAAGGCTGGCGCGGGGGCTCCCCTGACCACAATGGGGCTGTAGTTCTGGGCAGAGGCTCCAGGAGAATCAGGTGGAGAATGTGGCTTCTATGCCATGAAGGCTGGGACTGAGAGCTCGATTCAGACCCAGGGCTGGGTCCTGGCTGCCAGAGGAGCCCTGACACTTCTGTCACCAGACAGTGTCTCTGCTGGGTGTGAACATGCCTCAGGTATGTCATGAACAGTGTCCAGAGGCTTTCAGGCCTGTCCAGAGCTTCTAAATACCCGCTGCCCAGTTACCCAGATGCCCAGTGTTTGCCTGATTCAGTGAATGCCATCAGAGCAGCCCGCCTTACGGACCCGGGGACCACAACATCCTCCAGGCCCCATCTGTGCAGAGGGGCTGAGCATGGGGACACCCAGGAATATGATGTCCAGGCAGATGACTCCCAGATGAAACAAGAGCACCATGATTCTTGGATCTGGAGGCCTGAGAAGGGCAGCCTCTGGTAGTGTGGGGGTAACCACCATGAGATCATGAGTGCTGACCCGAAAGTGGGGCAGAGCAATGAGAAGGGAGGAGCCAGGCTCTGGGTTCAGGTCCAGCTCTGCCCCTCCCATCCTTAGTGACTTGAGGCATGTCACTCAGCCACTCTGTGGCTTTACCCTCTTAGTAAAGCTGAGGTAATGATAGCATCTTTACCTACAGTCACTGGGAGGATTAAAGCAGTAAAAACATGTAAAGATCTTAGGCTAGAAACTGACCCACAGAAGGGACTTAAACATTAGCTGCCATTATATTAAATTCCAAGGATGACAACTGGAACAATCTGGCTTCTCCCCATTGTCACAGGCACTGACACAGGAAGGCATCTTTACTACCTGGTAAAAGCAGTCAGTGTTTCCAGACAACACTGTGGAGGGGATGTCACCATGTCCCCCACCACTCCTGGCACCTGAGTGACCAGCCCAGGAGGGTCTCGTGGATGGGGCGCAGCCAGCAGTCCCACAGGGCCGGGTGGGCAGTGGGGAGGAACTAGGAGGCCAACAGGAATCTGCCTGCCCTTCTCTCTATCCCTGTTAACTTAAGATCGGATGTGCTGGGTGTTCCTCTGGATAAGAAAGTTCCTGACACACCTGGGATGAGGACGCATGCAAAATGTGTTGAGAATCACCCAGGAGGCTCAAGAGCACCAGGTCTCCACGTCTTGGGCGTCCCCCTTGGCAGATGCCCAGACAGGGCTCTCTGACCCAGAGTCCCACGGGGCAACAGTCAAGGGCAAAGACAAGACCCCAGCCCACGGGGAGCATCCCTGTGCCCTGCTTACCAAGACCCCAGCCCAC